CACAGGATGTTTTACGGTGATTAATCTTCATCAGCAAAACCGCGAAAAAAGAAGACATACAAAAATTTAGTGATTCTGAAATAACAATCCTTTTTTTTAGACCTCTATACATTTACCGCAGTCCTCTGATTTCAACATATGTCATCAATTTTATATCAAATTCTTTTTTTTTTTTAAATATCTAATAACAAAGTGACTAATAACCTGAATATAATATGCTTACTTTTAATGTTTATGTTACCATAAATAACAAAGGGGCACACAGCTGCACATTTTTGTTACCGTTTACATTATGTAACAAAGTGGCAGGTAACTTTAAAAATAAGATGCTTATTGGTAATGTTTAGGGTACATTAAACAACAAACCTAACAGTGAAAATTATTCTCTTATTGTTGATATATGTTTTATTACATAGCAACCGGGCACATAACTTTGAAAAAAAACACATTAATGTTTTATAATGCGGATACAAATAATTTATTGCCAGGCATATTTTGCTGTATCTCATCAGGTGCTTTACTACAGAGTTACATCAATATAAAATAAAGCACAAAACTGAATAAATTCAACTGAAATGCGAATAGTTTCTCAGATACATTGTCTCTCTATCAAGGCCGCTGGAAGCTCACCGTAGTCACTGACTACCAGGGTAACTTCAAATGTACGACAAATTCCGTCTGCTTACAAAGGAGAGGGTTATTGATCAGTGTTCTATATTTAATTGTCGAGTGTTTAATTTATTAACACAACTAGAAAAAAATCTCCGAACCTTCATTCAACTGGGTTTCATCAACATGCAGCAATGTCAGGACAAATTCTGCCTGTGGATAGACACAAATCTTTATATAATCTTAACCTTATTTATACAATAACATCACAATGTTCTAGATTCCTAGTTATATTTACACAACAATATCACAGTGTTTTAGTTTCCTAGCTCTATTTACACAATAATATCACAACATTCTACATTGCAAGCACTATTTACACAATAACATTATAATGGTATAAATTCCTAGCTCTATTTACATGATAATAGCACAATGTTTTAAATTCCTAGCACTTTCTGCACATAACATCACAATGTTCTAAATTCCTAGCACTGTTTACACAAGACACCTTTTATAGGTGTGACACAAGTACAATTGTTATTTGTGCCAGGTGTACCCACACTTCCATGAACATGTAAACGCTGATGACCTTGTTCCAGTTCTTAAATAATGTTTATTTAAGAAACTCTTGATAACTGCAAAGTTAGTATGTCTATTTAAGAACTCATGATAATTGCAAAGTTAGTATGGCTTCCGCACAACGTTATCGACTACTGAGTAGCCACATATTTTATTCATATGTTTCATAAGCACACTAATCTCAGGTAGTCACTGGCTAAATACATCAACAGTACGCTGGTATAGCTGATCACAAACTCATCCTCGCAATATGAACAAAGTCATGAGAGGCTAGCTGATGCCTCTATAGCAATAATTCCGTATCCTCCTAACTACTACACTTAACTTTATAATCCGGCTTTATACCACAGAAACACTTATCACCAGTATGAATAACCACTACTGTTCTGTTCACAGTTTTAAATCCAGTCCATTCCAAGCGAAAACAATTTCCACCTTTTAAAAGGGCCCCAAACAAACACATCCGTTCACTGGACTGTCCAACTACTAACTGCCGTGTGTCACTCTACCTGTTTGTCCAGTCCCCGTGTAACCTCCCCACTCAGTTACCTGTTTCGCCGTGCGGGTCTACACACAAGCCGTCTGACCAGTAATTGACCTGTCTGCTGTTATGAGTCAGTCTAGTCGTTGTTTGTCTTTATCTCACAGTGTGTGGTAAAGTTGACTCATGACAGTTTCACCCCCGCTTTTCAAAATGATACTATGTATCATTTCTGTTCATGGTTCGTTATTGTACCCTGTGTTATGTTCTTTTGGTGCTACCCGTGTGTAAATCTCTAGATAGATTGTCTGGTCACCTTGCATGTATCATGTCATTACCATTTTCTATCTATACTAGTATAAATCCTGGATTTATGAAGGTCCTAACACATTTCTGATGCTAACCCATGCTATTCATTGTACCGCATAACATCATCTGGTTGAAGGTTGTTTCCTTAATGGCCCGTGTCTTTTGCCCCTTTATCCAGGCTAGTTACCCTGCCTACTTTTGGTTTGCCGTATGTACTAAGTATGTCTTTACTCTTAGGCCGTTACAGCCCCATCATGATCATATGATAATTGATAATACCTCTCTCCTAATCAGCGGTGACATAAGATGTGATGCATATGAACCGAGTATTCTCTAATGTTTGCCAATGACACAAGACAGTAAATGGGGAGGGAATAGCTAGTATAGCTAGGACATTTGAGGCTAAGGAGTTAGAATTGGGGAAAATACAAAAGGTAGGGGGGGGGGTAATTTCTGCAACAGAGGGGTTTGTAGACAAAAGAATATTCATGAGTTAATTACTGTAAGTATTATCAAAAGCCTTTCATTCATATTCCATGTATTCAACAGACAGCCATTCATCCTTCTTTTTCTTTTCTTTTCTTTTTTTTTTTTCAAAAAAAAAAAATTGTATTTCTTGTTTTCATGTCATGCATCTGTTTAAAGACGTGACAGGATGTCAGCCAGGGCATTATTTATGCCACTGATGTGGACTAATTCAAAGCTGTAGTTCTGCAAAAGTAGACTCCATCTGTAAATACGATGATTCTTCGGTGTTCCTTCTTTAAAGACTGTCAGTGGTTTGTTGTCTGTCTGTACTATAAACTTCCTGCCAAGCAAATATTTTGCAAATTTCGTAACTCCCACCACAAGAGAAAGTGCTTCAAGTTCTACTGTGGCGTAACGTTTCTCTGCTTCTGACAGCTTCCGACTGGAATAAAGTACTGGGTGGAGAATGTTCTCATGTTCCTGTAATAAAATACATGATATGGAATACCCACTTGCATCGCACTGTAAGATGAAGGGTTTTTCGAGGTCAGGTAACTTTAAGATTGGTGATTTCGAGAAAGCTGTTTTGATATTGGTCAGAATTTGTTCCAGCTGCGGGGTCCATGCTATCTTTGTAGGCAATCCCTTCTTAACGAGTGAAGATAATGCTGCTGTCATGCCAGCAAAGTCAGGTAGAAATTTATTGTAATAGTTTATCAGTCCCAGCATTGATCGAACTTGCTTTTTTGTTGTTGGGGCTTTAATATCCAATATTTTTGAAATAATTTTGTCATCTGTTTGTAAGAATCCATTGCCGATCTTGTGACCCAGGAAATCAATTTTTGTGAACCCGATTTCTACTTTACTGGGTTTTACTTTCAAGCCGAATTCTCTTAATCTCTTAAATACCTGGGTTAAGGAAGAAATGTGGTCCTGCATATTTGCATTGTGAATACAAATATCGTCCATATATGTGGCAACATTCTTAATGTCCTTAAGTACAATGCGCATCATGCGAACAAATGTTGCAGGAGAATTTTGTAATCCAAAAGGCATTTTGCACCATTCGAACAATCCCATCGGTGTGGCAAATGCAGTAATATGCCTTGATTCTTCGGTAACTGGAATTTGCCAGTAACCCTTAGTGAGGTCTAATTTTGAAAAGAATTGTGATTGGCACATGGTTGCAATAAGTTCATCTGCATTTGGGATTGGTTCAGCATCCAAATGGGTAATGGCGTTTATTTTACGATAATCCACGCAGATTCTGAGTGTACTGTCTTTCTTTTTGACGATAACCAGCGGTGATGAATAGTTGGAAGATGACCTCCTAATAATACCACATTTTTCCAATTCAGATATTTCAGCCTCTACTTGTTTTTGATAGTGCAGCGGAATGGGATATGGTTTTGTCTTAACTGGTATTTCTGTTGTGAGTCTTATGTGATGTTTGATTACCGATGTGCTGCCTGGCGTATCTGAAAAGATGTCATGGAACTGTTGAAGGATCTTCATTAGTAGTGCTCTATCCTCATGAGGAATTTCGCTGTTGACTTTAATATCTTTCCACGACGATTCGACTGTTGTTGAAGGTGTAGGAATTTGGTCAGTTATAGTGTCTTCCTGTTGCTCATTGATGGTTAAGGCTAAAGACGCAATATGCTCGTTTATATGCCTGGGGGGTTGTAGCTCATCTCGAATCTTAAATGGCTTTAGCATGTTAATGTGGAAGATTTTTGGCTTGCCTTTCACCAGTATCTCGTAATCCACATCCGAAATTTTTTTGGTTACCTTGTATGGACCTTGCCATGATACTGACAGTTTATCAGATGGAAGTGGTAATAGTAAAAGCACTTCTTCTTCTTCTTTTAAGGCAACTGTCTTAGCATTTCTATTTGCATATTGTCTGTACACAGTACCCGAGGTTTCAAGGGCCTGTTTTGCAGCCATGCAGGACTTTATAATCCTCTCCCGTAAACTGATGACCATATTATAAGCATCTATGGTTGGCTGGTCTTCAACTTTCCCCGTAATTAGTTCTTTATAAATTTGCAATGGTCCACGGGGGTTGGCTCCATAGACCAACTCAAATGGGGAATGTCCTGTACTACTCTGCGGCACCTCTCTATAGGCGAACAGGATGGCTGGTAGAAATATGTCCCAGTCTGCGGGGCGTTCAGCTGAAATTTTTGCCAACATTCGTTTCAATGTACCATTTAAGTTTTCTACAATACCATTTGTCTGTGGGTGGTATGGACTCGCAAATTGCTGTTTAATACCCATCATTTTAGTGACTGCTTGTGTGGCAGCAGAGATAAATTGTGTTCCTCTGTCGGATAGAATTGTTCTAGGGAAGCCGATTCTTGAGAAAATGTGTATGAAGGCTTCTACAATAGCCTCAGCTGTAATATTTCGAAGCGGAATCGCTTCAGGCCATCTGGTACACAGATCTATTACTGTAAGGATATATCTGTTTCCCTTGTTTGAGGTAACATTTAATGGTCCGATTATGTCCACTGCAATTTTTTGAAATGGTCTAGATGCTAAGTCAGTCACCTGGATATGAGCCTTTGGGTTTTTCCCTTTCTGTGACTGTTTTTGACAAATCTCACAGGTACGAACAAATGTTTTTGTGTCCTTGCTGTACCCTGGCCAGTAGAACTGCCCCAGGATTCTTGATTTTGTTTTAGCCGTTCCCATATGACCAGAAAACGGCGCATCATGTGCCATTTCTAGTACTTTTTTGCGAAACTGTTCCGGCAGCACCGTTTGTGATACTGTCATCGTTCCTTTTTTATACACCCTTGCCAAGATATCCTTTTTCAGTGTAAACCACCATCTACCAGACTTTGAAATTCTAGGCTTTTCATTTACGAGGTTGAAACATTTCTTTAATGTGGGGTCCGTCCTCTGGAGTTCTGAAAATGAGGGTTGACCACCTGCTGGGGTTTCCATGTTAGGGATGCTGATGGATTGAATCAGATCTGTCTGTGCTTTATCTTCTTGTTTTTGCGTTTGCTGTCTTGTGACAGCATTTACGTTAGGAAACTGTTCCTCCCAGTTTTTGATTGCTAACTCATCATCAGTATTTACATTTGGTACATTACCAATGAGTATTCCGGCACATGGCGCGGGCAGTACTGCTGCCTTTGTTATGCCGGTGTAAAAGGGGCAATTTATTTTTACAAGAGCTACCTTATATCTTTCCTTATTACCTCCAAAAGTTCTGCACACAATGTGCTCTCCTGTATAGTCTTTCTCTTGCACTAATGCTCTGTGTACACCAATTAGTGTCGCGCCTGTATCTCGGATTACTGTGCAAGGTATACTGTTAGCGAATCCCCTGAAGTAGCGCAAGGATCCACTGGTCATGTTAGCCGAGTGTGCTTCTTGAATCGGCACACTGTGTCCGCAAGTTAGATTCCCATCTTCATGGAATTCTTTGCATATCTTGCAGTTTTCGATCCCCAGTTCAGCAATCTCTTGGACTGAGTTGGCTATTAAGTCTTCTTCCGATTCACTGCTTGATGAATTCAGGACCATATTAGCCTCTCTTATTATACTTCTTGCATGGCAGTCCCTGCGTATATGGCCAAATGCCCCACATTTAAAGCACTGTAGGTTTGTGGCATACCTTGTTACCTTAGATTGTTGTTTTTGGACAAAATCTCGTAGATACTTCATGTAATTTGGGTTTTTATCACACATATCTAAGCTACCATGCTTGTGATTGCAGTGTGAACATGTTATTAGAGTTCCTCGTTTTGCTACTGGGTGTCGTGCTTTTCTCTGATATGTGCTATCGTTTTGATAGCTGTAGGGACTTCTCTCTTGAGAATATGTCGCAGCTGCCCCAAAAGCTAGATCGGGTTGAGAGCAGGTCGCAAAGACCTCCTTATGGGCGTAAAAGAATGCTTCTCCTTTTTTCTCCATGTCACCTACTGATGTGCATCTGTTCTCTTGTAAGAACGTCGACATACTAGCAGGAATTGAGACTAAGAGTTTATCACGCACTAGCAAATCCTTCAATAAGTAGAAAGAGTCTTGGACTTGCCGCTTTCAGCCATCTATCTAGAGTACTCTGCACCTCTGCGACATAGTCCACAAACGTCTGGTTGCTTTTTGGTGCCAGAGTTTTGAAAAGTGTTCTGTACCCTTCCTCATCAAGACTAAAATGGGCTAGTACTCGATCTCTCACATACTCATAGTCCATACGGAGTTCTTCCGGTATCGTTTCCACAATTTTAAGGGGTTCCAATGCTAGATGTCTGTGAAAGATTATGTGCCATTCGTCCTTAGGAACAGAGTAGTGTTTCATCATAATCTCAAAGTTAGAGATCCACGCGGAGACCGAATCACCCTTAGTGAAGTTTTGAACAATGCCCTGATATCGTTTGATCTTGTTTTCAGAAGCCTTTATCTGTGCCTGTCGTAAACTACTTTCCGTCTCCTTTTCTAGGTCCATTTCCTTTACTCTAACCTGCATGGCCACTTCTTTTTCTCTTAATGATACTTCAGCCAGTAGTTTTTCCCTTTCAAACGCTATTTGGGCTAATTTTATTTCCTTTTCAGCAGCTAGTTCCACCATTTTTAACTCCTTCTCTGCTTCTCTGGTCTGCAGACGCTCTTCCCTCTGTTCACTCTTCCATTCGCGAAACTGATCCTCTGACCATCTCTGTAGCTCTTTGTCTGCCAATCCCATCTTCTGCCCTAAGGTAATGAATTCTTCTAGTGACGTCATTTCGTGTATCCCTGGGAAATGCGTCGGGTATGCCGGGGTTCAATCGACGAGCGCCCAAGTTGTCAGACACCTTTTATAGGTGTGACACAAGTACAATTGTTATTTGTGCCAGGTGTACCCACACTTCCATGAACATGTAAACGCTGATGACCTTGTTCCAGTTCTTAAATAATGTTTATTTAAGAAACTCTTGATAACTGCAAAGTTAGTATGTCTATTTAAGAACTCATGATAATTGCAAAGTTAGTATGGCTTCCGCACAACTTTATCGACTACTGAGTAGCCACAGATTTTATTCTTATGGTTCATAAGCACACTAATCTCAGGTAGTCACTGGCTAAATACATCAACAGTACGCTGGTATAGCTGATCACAAACTCATCCTCGCAATATGAACAAAGTCATGAGAGGCTAGCTGATGCCTCTATAGCAATAATTCCGTATCCTCCTAACTACTACACTTAACTTTATAATCCGGCTTTATACCACAGAAACACTTATCACCAGTATGAATAACCACTACTGTTCTGTTCACAGTTTTAAATCCAGTCCATTCCAAGCGAAAACAATTTCCACCTTTTAAAAGGGCCCCAAACAAACACATCCGTTCACTGGACTGTCCAACTACTAACTGCCGTGTGTCACTCTACCTGTTTGTCCAGTCCCCGTGTAACCTCCCCACTCAGTTACCTGTTTCGCCGTGCGGGTCTACACACAAGCCGTCTGACCAGTAATTGACCTGTCTGCTGTTATGAGTCAGTCTAGTCGTTGTTTGTCTTTATCTCACAGTGTGTGGTAAAGTTGACTCATGACACCCACTTGTCCACATAAATTCTTAATATTATTTACTAAACACATCAAAATTTCCACAAATTCTTAGTTCTGTTTACACAACATATCAAAATTCCTAGTTCTACTCATACAACACAAGATCCTGACCTGTCCATAAACATTTCTTATTCTATTTACACAAAACATCCCAATCGTTAGTTGTCAAAGCCAACAGTGAGCTCTACTGAACACAGGCCACCAAACAGTGAGCCATAATGAACACAGGCCACCAAACTGTGAGCTATACTGAACACAGGCCACCAAACTGTGAGCTATACTGAACATAGGCCACCAAACTGTAAGCCTCACTGAACTCAGGCCACAAAACAACAACTTACCCGTCCAAATAAATTGCGAGCATTGATCAAATCTCCCTTATGGAATGCAACAATTCCTTGCAGAAGATACAGTCTCATGAACAAAGCCTGCTCAGTACCAGTCCCACCCTGCGGATACAGTTAACAGAGACAACAATAAAATTACACATCATAATCACATAAGGACAGTAACAATACATAAACTACAACATCATAAACATTTGTAATCTATGGCGTTATTTCAAAGTTGGAAACAAATTCTGTTCCATAGTTGTTCAGGTACATCACAAATCTGGCCAAAGATGACACCTTTTCCCAGTAATGTCTTCATTACGTCATAATATGATGTCACTTTGTAAAGTCAACAAAATCATATTTCTCATGGTCAAAGGAAAAGAAAGCAGTCAATTCCTTGCTCAGTTTGTATTAAGAGATTAATTCCCTTACTAAAAAAAAAAAAAAAACTTTTCATTGAAAAATTTATAAAAAAAATTAAAATGAATTATTTTAGTAATTTGATGGCCATGATGTAAACTTTAGACGTTATGCTTGCCTGTCTGCTCAATGATCTAGGGGTTTGACTCTCTGGATGTTTATAAAAACTGCCCAAGGCTCTAAATTCCACCAGCTTCTTTTTCTCTTCCTCTAATTACTAGGGCAGAGTTTCAGAGAATTATAAGGATGAATTTCTTCTTGATGATTAAAAAAAAAAAGAAGTTTTTTTGGGGTAAGATTTCTACGGAGCGAAAAAGTTAAATAAACCATTCGCCAGGGAAACTGAGCCCTAGTATTTGAGGATCATGAAACTGTTTACTGCATTCACTAACTCTAAGCCACAGAAGCACTATCTCTTCTTTGCCTTTCCCAAGGCCACTAGCAACTTTAATGATTTTATATTAACTTTACTAAAATTGTAAGGGTTCATTTTCTCATTGCTGGTAAATTCTTTCGTTACTCAAAAATGAGGACAACTACGAAACATAAATTATGTGCTAGAGTCTGGATGAATGGCATTATTTCTTAATTATTATGTATGCATGAATAAATTGAGTAATTGATACCAGCTGGAGGCAAACAAGCATTTTCGTCAAAGCGTGCCAAATGAAGGAAGAAAATCGTGAGTAAAATTTTCAGCGCACGAAAGCGAGAAGAGGCTAATTAAGCTTTGAGCGAATGAGAAATTCAGTATTGTTTCAATCTAGTCTTGTGTGGCATTTGGAATGCCTGAGCTGAATATATCCTGAGAAAAACGAGTTTGACTGTGTTCAAGCCACCAGCCTGATGAAACCGGGCTAATCAATCCATAACAACGACAAGATTGTCTGCTGAGCTGTGCAGTTTATGAATGCTGATTAGGGAGCAATGAGCGTATGAGATGTACTGACCATAAGGATCATGTGCAACTGACCATAGTAAGAAGAATGTATTTGAACATAGCTAGTTCCCTAGACAACAAATCTCTGGGGCATTGAACAAGAGGAACATTGTTAGAGTAATAAACAGTTGTTTGGTGTTTCTCAATGTTTGTTTATATCCAAGCTTGCTGCATTGAAGTATCTTTAATGTATTGAAGCAGGCTGCACGATTACAGCCAAGAGAGTAATTGCAAAAGCTAACCCCTCCATCTCTTCCCCTCACTTCTACTGCAGGTAACTGCTCCATCTCTTACCACCACCTGTATTAAAGGTAATCACTATACATTTTCATCTCATTCTGTTAAAACTAACTGCTGCACCTTTTTATTTCCCTCAACTAAAGGTAACCACTCCACTTTCTCACCCCACCTCTATTAAAACTAACTGCTCTATCTTTTCACCTCACCTTTATTGAAGCTAACCGCTCCATTTTTTCACCATAGCATCGCTTGAAACATTCTTCACTTTTACTGAGTCTGATCTCTGAAACACAAAACCCCAGTATGAGGTAAATGAGAAATACTCAGATCGTTACATAGCACAGCATAAGCTTGACAGCCCAAAAAGTGGCCCAAGTTTAATCTTCAGAAGTGACAGTATTTTTTCCCCTACCAGTTGGAGGTGACACAGCCTGATAAAAACATCTCTCTCTGGCAACTGGTACCAAAGCATCAAAAATAATCTTGCTTTGTGAGATACGACAAGACAGAGGCTCTCATGGTGGCTCGAAAGAGAACGCTTCAGAGTTGCCAAGGATCACTCAAAGTTTTCAATATAAACCGCTCTTAGGGAGGTTGCTGTACAAGATCGAACTACACAGCAAATGTCTATCCAAAAAGTGCGACTTGTAAATAATCTAGCAAAGGGGCAGTTGAACAGTGCAGGCAGGCGGCAGGCTAAAAAGACCTGTAAAACAAGCCCTTTACCCACAGACACTGTTCCCTACTCTCATTATCCTAGATCTCACAAGGCCCTTATTAGGCTTATAAGTCACCTCAGACTCAGACATTCAACTACAGTTTTGTGTCAAACAAAAGAATGACTGGTCCTCATCACTTAGAATGGATG